TTTTATTTTACACAAATTGCGATTTAATTTTTAAGCTCTTTACCTTCTGTATTATTCAAAACAGACAAGCGGTATAAATCAGTGTATAGTCTGACCAACACAATAGATAGACACACACTGTTCTTTCTTGTGAGTCGGGCCTGCGTTGATGAAATTAGGTGATGCATGAATTATTATTATGAGCAATGGTGGAGAAGAAATATCAAATGTTAATAATATAAGAAAGATAACTTGAGAGTCAAGTCATGGCATTAAATTTCTAATATAATCAGGTCGGCCGACCTACAGACCACAAGAACAACTAACTCACCTCAGTGTGTTATACAGTAAGCGCTCAGCAGGAATCTGTAGATCGGTGGTTGTTGGTAAATACTGACAGTAGGCTGTAATGTACCCGAGTCCAAGGGGTCACTTTGTGTTGGAAAGGGGACAACAGAAGGGCTCAGATTAGGAAATGCTGAAATATATGGTCTGGGCGTCCTTTGGAGCTTTAAACTCGTAATTTCCTGCCTTCTGGAGACACATACTGCTCCAATTTACAGTGGAAATGTTTTTATTTATATAAAGAGAAACACAACAAACAATCAGCTGGCAGGCGAAAATTCATAAATATAAAAATATAACATGTTACTTTTTTGGATAATGCATATTTGTTTCTTTTATATTTAAATTGCATTACATGTTTATTATTGTTCAAATAAACCTTTCTCAGAGCATTTTCATTTTTAACAACGTCCGTAGTTCTTCCTTCCTTTCCTAACACGTTCCTTCCATATCTATAACTTATCAAAGTCAGCAGTCACTCATTAAAATGAACTCTGTAATGATTAATAAACAGAATCAAACGAGAGCTTCTGAACATTCAGGCCTTGTTTTGTATCAGACCTGCGTCGTCAGTCTGCTTCACATTACTGAGCCCGGGGGAGCTGAGATGTTACTGTGTCTTTATGGAGGTTCATAACTCACATGTGCGCATTAAACCATCACACACTCAGATTTAGATGTTTCCTTCCATCTGCTCGGCGTGAACGCGGCGGCGACTCGATTCTTGTGGTTGTCGCCTCTCCCCAGCCAGAGCGTTATTGTCCGACGCTCGGATTTAATCCTCGTGTGAACCGCCTTACCCACAATGCCACGCTCCCTCCCAAGCCCCCCCCCCCTCCCCCCCAGGCGCCGGAGATGAAAGCGGAGCAGACGGTTTCTTTGGAGATCATGACAGTCGGAACAACAGAATTATTGGTGTTTTGCGGTCGCGGCTTTGCGAGGAAGATATTGGAGCTGAAGAAGTCATCCATCTCCGCCGACGCTTTTCAAGTTCACATCTGATTTGTGAGACGGGTCAATTCAAATCTCCCAAAGCTGTGACATCCACCGTGTCAAAGAGGAGACACATGAGAGGACGCTGCAGTCAGGAAGGAGAAGTTTAACTGGGATACACATTTTAATATTTCATACCTTTTTAATCGGAAACAAAAGAGAAGGCTTCGCACTGCACACTTCAGATGTCTAAATACACTGAACAAAATGATAAAGGCAGCACTTTTGTTTTTGCCCCCATTCATCATGAGCTGAACTCAAAGATCTAAGACTTTCTCTTTGTACACAAAAGGCCTGTTTCTCTCAAATATTGTTCACAAATCTGTCCAAATCTGTGTTAGTGAGCACTTCTCCATTACTGAGATAATCCATCCACCTCACAGGTGTGGCATATCAAGAGGTGTGCCTTAGGATGGCCACAATAAAAGGCCTTTTCATTGCCTCACGCAGTGCAACAAATCTCCTTCACATATAGTTGATCAGGTTGTTGATTGTGGCCTGTGGAATGTCGGTCCACTCTTCAATGGCTGTGCGAAGTTGCAGTCAGGTCGAGACCCCGATGAGGACGACGAGCATGCAGATGAGCTTCCCTGAGACGGTTCCTGACAGTTTGTGCAGAAATTCTTTGGTTATGCAGACCGACTGTTGCAGCAGCTGTCCTGGTGGCTGGTCTCAGACCATCTTGGAGGTGAAGATGCTGGATGTGGAGGTCCTGGGCTGGTGTGGTTACACATGGTCTGTGGTTGTGAGGCCGGTTGGATGTACTGCCAAATTCTTTTTGAGTGGCCTTTTATTGTGGCCAGCCTAAGGCCTTTTATTGTGGCCAGCCTAAGGCACACTTGTGCAATACTCATGCTGTCTGATCAGCATCTTGATATGCCACACCTGTGAGGTGGATGGATTATCTTGGTAAAGGAGAGGAGAGGCCTTTTAAGGAGGAGAAATGGGCCTTTTGCGTACTTTTTTGAAAGTCTTAGATCTTTGAGTTCAGCTCATGATGAATGGGGGCAAAAACAAAAGTGTTGCCTTTTTAATTTTGTTCAGTGTCAAAAATAAACTGATATTTAATAGAAGCAAAGATAATGTCATAAAGAAAACTGACTGAGATTTACAGACTACAGTTGATTCATGGCCTCACCACAAAAAGAGAAAGACATCAGAGCATGAAAGAATTTAATTATTTGTGGACCTTTTTTTTATATTAAACAAAACAAATTGCTGGTTTAAAATTGGATGACATGTATCCTATATTTGAAAATGCCAAAGCTGTGGTGGCAGTTGAGTGTATGAAATGAAACTGACTCGTGAACAGTTAATCTCCAACACAACAGCTTGTCAACGCTGGCTGCTAGTTGTAACTAATTAGTCACTGAACTCCTCTCTTTGATCACTTTGATCGTCTCAGCTTGAACCACAACTGAACTAAGTCGACCATAATCTACACACAGTGTGTGCTGCATTCATTTCATATGGGACGGAAAGACGCAGCTGACTAGTGATCACATGAAGACTACTAACTAATTAACACAAAAGTAATAACTTAATAATTTCAAGACATTTTTGACTTACTTGCTTTGGCTGAACTAATTCTCTCGTCAGCTTCAGCTCACAGTTTGATTTGTCTTGATGTATAGAAGGTGTTTGGCCTCTTGTGTTTAGCTGCATCTTTGTTCGTTTGTCTGGGTGTTTCTGAACAGGAAGGCAGCAGATTTTAGAAATCTGGAGGAAAGTTCAGCCACAGTAACACAGAACAGATTATAGGAGTGTTTGTTTGAATTTAGGTATTAAGTACTCTGCGCAGCCAGGGGGAGCCCTGTGTTGTTAATTAAACTCCTCTTTTTACTTGGTTATGCTGATTTTCACCGATGGACAAGAACACAAACCCTGTACTTCAGTAAAAGTACAGATACCCTTTGCTAAATGTTACTCCATTTAAAGTAAAAGTCTATTTGAGGTCAAACTACAAAAGTACCTGCTTTTAAAAATGCTTGAGTATCAAAAGTAAAAACTACTCTGTCACTGGACGCTGACATGACAAACGGACTATAAAAACATCAAAGTAGCTGCCATTCAAGTAAGCGTTTCAGCTGTACTTGTACAAAATGTTGGGTAGTTTAAATCATAATAAAACATCATATTTAAAATACACTCTTACTTTGTAACGTAACTGAACTAAAGTTGTCGGATAGTAAAGTACAAAAAGTAGTCTTTCTCTCTGAGATGTGGGGAAGCAGAAAGTGGCACGAAAAGAAAATACTCATCTGTATTTAGGTACAGTACTTGAGTAAATGTACGTAGTGACTGTGCACCACTGCTGATCACTCTTCTGATTAGCTTTGAGTTAAATGAATCTACCTCAGTATCAAATACTGGAATATGCATAACTGAAGAAGGTTGTAAACAAATATACCAACAGTTAACAAGACAAGTTTATCCACTTTAATTCAGATATTTAAGAATATTAAAGATTGATGAACCTGGTAAAACTTCCTGTGTGAACAGAGCACGCTCTCGCACCACACGCCTGCATCCTGTTTATCACGTGACGGGTCAGTGAGGCTCATGCTTCGTACAGGATTAACAGGGAGCCGACTTTGTTTGGTTGAAGGAAGGAATGAACTTTGTGGAACAGTGTCACTGATTGGTGGTTTGGATTGGACCTGCAGCCAGCAGGGGGCAGAAGTCGCCCCGCTGCGACCCGGCCACATGGCCGACCCTCTCTGGGGACTGTTTGGGGTTTAGTGGGTGAACGTCCCGTCGTAGTCCCCGTGTGGACTGCGTTACCCGCAACTCCCCGAGGCGGCGGATGAAAGCGAGGCGGCGGTGAGAGACTAAAGGGTTAGCGGTCTGAAGGCACAGCAGAGGGATGCGGTCGCTGGTGTGTGATGTGAGACAGCAGCTCTTGTCCTCCTTTCATGTGGCCACGAGTTTTTATTACAAGCAATCGTGAGTCAGGAAGAGGAGAAAGTACAGAAAGAGGAAGAAGAAAATTAGGGAGGAAGAAAAGAAAGATGGCTGGGGGGGTGAAGAAAGACGAGGAGGAAGGAGAAGCTGCTCTCCACCAGCTGACCTTGTCCTCAGGCGGCCTGCAGCTTATTAAACTTATTTTAAAACTCATCTGGGAGTCGGATGAAGCTCCAGCCAACACTCAGATCCTCCCGTTTGATTAGAGCCAGTTTCATATCTACCTGCTGGGAAGAGTCGACTTAATAAAAATGCTAATAATCCCCAAAGTTAACAGCGTAAAGTCAGCGTCTCTGCTGCCTCTTCACTCCCCGCTGCTGCTTGGTGAAGCTCAGCGGGACATGAAGGTGGAATTACTGGGGGCGGCTGATGCCACCAGGACCAGGACCAGATACACAGAGGGATGCTTTTTATTATAAAACGTCTATGGCAGCGCTAGGCAAACAGTGTCGTGCACCACCCACAGCACCTGCCGTCGTGTTTAGTAGTCAGGATGAATACTCGAAACAAAGGTTGTGACCGTGTTGCTGTTGTCTAAATAATACTAAGCATCAGGGCTGCTCAGTTCATCACAATGCTGTCGAAATCACAGTGAAGCAAAATGATGCAGAGACGCTCCGGCCAGATACAAGAGCACATGTTTCTTTGGTACAGATACAAATACGAGTTCATGAATTCGAGCCCGTCTTTGGCCTGAGTCTCCGTCTCGTCTGTTTCAGGGCTTCAGAACGAAAGACGGACACGTAGTCGTGGCTGCAGGCAACGACAAACAGTTTGTCAAAGTCTGTCAAGTGAGTGACTTCACCTCAACACGCGCATTATGTCGTTAGTCTGACAGACAGAGGAGATTTCTTATAATATGACATATTAAACTCTGTTGTTGTTGTTTGTGTTTGCAGGTTCTGGAGCTGACGGAGCTCACAGACGAACCAAAATATAAAACCAACAAGCTGAGAGTCCAAAACCGCAAACAGCTGCTGCACACGCTGTCACAGAGGTACAGACACGGTTCTGACTGCTCATATTAAACACAAGCAGTAAAACTAAATAACCAGAACAACAGAAACCTCTCAGACGTCTCTCTCCACATGTGTTGGTGTCTGAGCTGGAGCAGGTAACGTTGGAGAAACTACATTTACAACGTGTCCGACTGAAAAACTCTAATCCTCCTTCAGGTCTCTGTCCGACGCTCCGTCTTAAAGCTAACTATTTATATAACAACATGTATGAAGAGAGCGTTGGAGTGAAGAACCATCAGCTGAATCTCTGCAGCTTCTCTCAGCCGGTCGTTCGTCTGCCCGGCTGCAGCTTCCTGTTCTGGTCCTCTCTCTCAGAGAAGAAACATTTCATTGAACCTGTGACCTCCACATCCAGCCAATGAGAGCAGGCCGCTGCTTATTCGTCACTAAACATACAATAATCATTTCTCTCTGTCAGGTTTCTGCAGGAGAAGACCGCTGATTGGCTGAGGAGGTTTGAGGGCTCAGGTGTTCCTGTTGGACCAATCAACAGCATCAAGGAAGTCTTCTCTAATCCGCAGGTCAGTCAGCCAGCGTTTCCTGCTGCTGCTGTTGGTTTGTGTTCATCCTGCAAGAGGAAGTGATAAACATGATGCAGTCAGCGCAACAAAAACATAGAGAGGAAGGAAGGTCTGGGAGATTTCTGGTGAAACATTTAAATCCTTTGACTAAAGAGATACACAATGACCTTTGTGATGCTTTTAATTAACATCTCTCTGAACGGCGCCGCAGATCTCCAGCTGCAGTCTGTGGCGAGGAATCATCTGCAGCATCTATTTGTATAAATTTAAATTCTTTCCTCCCATATTTTGCGCCTCAAACCAGGAACGCCTCAACCGCCATATTTCAGGAGACCAAACGTGCAGCTTTACCGTCACTAAACCTCAACGCAGCCATTCAGGAAATAAACAATCTGACTGTTTACGTCTGAAAAACGGCGGCTGTCACTAAAAACCCCCACGAAATAATCCGACGGTCCAGGCGGATGGTGAGTGTGTCCCGGTGGGTCTAACTGGTACCAACAGCATGCGTGACCTCAAAGTGTTTCTGACCGACGCCGTGGCGTGTTCAGTCTGAAAGTGAAGGAGGCGGAGCCTGAACCGGGGCGGAGCTGCGGTCTCCTGGTTAACGAACGCACCTGAAGTGAACCCAGAGACCATCTGCTGGTGTCACGGCTGCTCATCAGACTGTCCCTCCATGTAGACACATTAGTCACTGCTCACAGATTACACAACTCGGCGTGTTACACTAACACACTGCTCCAGGCCTCATTACTGTGTGTGTGTGTTGAGAACAAAGCAACAGGACATATGGCGTGTGTGTGTGTGTGTGTGTGTGTGTGGAAGTAAATGAAACACGAATCACACCGCGAGCCTCTTTCTGTCTCTCCTACTCTCTAAAATGAAAACAAACACCTTGATTAGCGCCCGAGCCAGCCAACCAGCTAGCTGCCTTTTACCCAATCAGATGTGAGGACCGGTCGGCCGTGCCCTCGGCTCCGCCCCCTCCCGATGAGTCCCATTTGTTTTCATCACCAGTTGGCCGTGGATGACTGACACGTCTCTCGCTCAGTGTTTCCATCAGTGGAGATCATTTCCAGCTTTAGTCACATTTAACGTTTACGGACTTGAACTGCTGACCGAGACGCTTTAGCTCCATTTAAGACACTTTCGTTTCCCCTCAGTCACATTTCTGCCTCTCTGTTGTTTTCTGGGCTGCGTGTAAATCGGGGTCAGTCCTCCTCCGGACACGTTCTACTTCCTGTAGAGTGCGTGAGGTCAGAACAATGGCTAAAAACTGCAGCCGCCGAGGTTTTATTTTCACGTGACATGGTGACGTTTTGCAGCGCCGGAATTTCTAACCATGTTAAATCCAGCAGCATGAAGTCAAACGCACCTGTTAACAGTTTAGCTAGTGTTTGCTAACAGCTATCCATAATCCAACAGACATGAACGAATCATATTTCTGAGGTACGGGCTGATTTATGATGGAGAGAAGATAAAAAAGGTGATGATCTTTGATTTTAATGTTGCTGGCCAACACACACAGTGATGCTAATATTAGCATGTGTGTCATGCACAGGACAGACATGTGACTCCAGCCCTTCCTCTCTGTCTGCTCTCCCTGAATGTTCTGTGGCTCTGAACAAGTTTTATTTGAATGTGTGTTTTGAAGACAACAGCTCCCATCACCACCTGGCACGGAAATGTCATATAAAAGCTATGACTCAGTGTGTGTGTGTGTGTGTGCGCGCCAGCCCATCTGCCTCTATAATCCTGCTGCAACAACTTGTTTTCAACTAAGTTTGGACTCTCTCTCCTCTCTGCTCACACACACCTGTGAGTGCTGACTGATGCTACAGATGTTCCTCCCCCCATGAACGTGGGTGATTTGAATCATCAGTCGATTCATGTTGTCAGACTTTCACTCTGGAGCTGAAAGTTTGCCAGGTCAGTACTCATGGACCAGACCAGACTGTGGTACCGCTTCCTGTCCTGTGATCCGGTGTGATGTGCAGGAGAGACGCTGAGTTACGATGTTATTACTGACGCACGCTTGACTGTGGGGGAAATAGATGTCAGTAATGCACAAGTGATGTTACAGGTGCACCCACTTCAGAGGGTGGTTATCACATTCAGTCTAACCTGGTCATGTTTATCTACCACCTGTCCTTATTAATACCCAAGTGGATCTGGATGGATGTGTCCACTATGAGTATCGTAGCCCCTTCAAGCTCTATCTTAGTACGTAGTGTGTGCCAAGAGCAGGCAGACGTAGTAAAGTTGGCTCTAAAGCTGTGACGGCAGTTGAACCTTCAGTTAGTAAATAAATGCTTTAGCTCCTTAAGACTCACACTGGGTTTCCCGTGTCTTTCCAACTGCTGAGTGAGGTGAAGGGAGTCGACCCCAAATTAGCATCAACTTAGTTTCACTTGAGGTTCCCGAAGACCACAGTCTGGACGGCATCACCTACAGTGTCCCCATCACTGCACTCTTATTATTAAGACCAGCTGGCAGACTGCCTCCGACTGGTCCACCAGCACCTCTTCCAGCAGCGAGTAGTTTTCCCTGGAGGGCTCCCATCCAGGTACTGGCCAAGCCCAAACCTGCTTAGCTTCAGTCCTTCAACAGAAGCAGGCCACACGTTGGTATGGCTTTACTGGTTGGGAGTGGCTTTCGTTTCAATTGCGCCACCCGATAAAGTCGTTTTTAGAATGTGAAATGGTGGCAGTGTCTTTGGTTTGCCTGATGTTAGCTTAGCGAGGATTCAGCAGAAGCGAAGAGACAGAATAGAAGATGTGAATGAGTTGTGTGGAAGTGCCCCAGACACTAACAGGGGCCAACTGAGTAGTTGGGAGTAGTACTTTCTACTACTGTAGTAGTGTGTACTACTCCTACTCTGTTATATGCTCTCAGTCTATCGTACTGAATACCGTCCACAGTGCTGACAGTTGAATGATGTATTTATATGTTGAGGGGTCGGTGGAGTTGTGTTAACCCTCTTTTGGGGGGTTGAGAGGTCAGAATTACTGGATTTTCTCTGGAAAAAGGAAAATAAAATTGGACTTGGATTAGTAGATAGTGTAATAAAGGGACTGTAATTTACTAACTCACTGTTATTAGCATAGAGAGTTCAAATCAAACTTTTACCTTTAAGTGCAGGTATGTCTGTCAGGTTTACTGCCATGGGATTTTAATCCAGTAGTCTTGGATGATTAATTGACTGTGCGCTGCAGTTTGCGTGTGCCTGTCCGTGCTGCTATAGCAAACTGTTATTGATGAGGTGAATACGCTCTCGGTGACGGCTGTGTGAAACTGAAGGAGGAGGCTTTGTTTTGCTTTGAGTTTTTTGAGCTGTCTTTGGGGAAAACAGTCTTTGCTTTTTTGGTAATGTGGTCTGCATTGATATTCCATTTGGGTGTGTTGCTGACGTGTGTGCCAATAAATTTGAATGAGTCAGTGATTGTTATGAGTTCCCCTGAGACGTGTATGGGGGTTTTGTGGAGGAGGCTGTTTCTGAAATCTTTAATGAGTTCTTGTGTTTTAGATGTGTGGAGCTGGAGGTTGTTATCAAGGCCCCAGCTGACTTCTTGGGCTACCTGCTCAAGGTATCGGTCTTCAGTGTTGTTGGCCATGAGTCAAATCATGGCGGTGTCGTCTGCATATTAAAGAAAGGTGACTGGGCTGTGTGACCGGTGCTGAGGCTCAGAGGACAAGATGAAAGGTTAATTATCTTGACCCTCTGCTGCCTTCTCCACAGGAAGCACCGGACCTGGTTTATTGTACTGAAGGCCGAGCTGAAGTCAATGAATAGGATGTGGTAGGTGTTGGGCGACTCTAAGTGTTGTCGTGTGCTGTGGAGGGCTGAGTTAGCAGCATCCTCAACAGACCTGTTGACCTTTTTCCAGATGGTTCTTGTGTCACTACAGGCAATCTGTTGTTCCAGTTGGATGGTGTCGGTTGACTTGGCTTCCCTGATTGCAGACTTTAGCTCATATTTGGCAGAAGTTATTGTTCCCTATCTCTGCTAATGAAAGCAGAGTTCTTCTTCTTGCACAAAAGTCGAGTGTCTTTGGTGAACCAGGAGTTATTATTGCTGTGGGGGTTGCACTGTTTTGGTGAGGATACACAGTGTTATGCAAAAATTGACGCATGAAATCCCAAACAGCCTCTCCGAAGACCTGCACCTGACACATTTGGATGCTGTATTGGTGGACAGAAGGTTCTGTCTGTATTTGAATGACCAGCAGCATCGCATGGTCAGATTCTTTAAGCGGAGTCCTCAGGAACGAACAGTAAGCTTCGCTAATTGGATGTCTCGGGATGGGAGTTTTCGGCAGAGGAAATGTAAATGCAAATGTAAATGCTCCGTACTTGTATAGCGCCTTTCTAGTCTTTTCGACCACTCAAAGCGCTTTTACACTACATCTGCATTCACCAGTCACACACATTCATACACTGAGCCTAAGTGCTCAAACGGAAACTAACATTCACACTCACTCATACACTGGCGGAATAGCCGCCAGGGGCAAATCGGACACTTCGACACGCAACCAGGGGGAGCCAGGGATTGAACCTGGCCGACCTTCCGATTAACGGCCAACCCGCTCTATCTCCTGAGCCACAGGATGTTATGTAGGTGGCTAATTGGCTGATTGACCGTAACATCAGAAGGAAACTCTTTGGGAAGATCAGACAGTCTGCATTTAGCACTGATGTATTCTAGGTGAGGGGAGCAGGAGTTCTGTAACACTATAACACTGTAGGACAGGAACACCGGCACTGATGAACTGACAGACTGCGACGCCTTTATATTTCACGGATAGCTTGGCTGACCTGTCCAGGTAGGATTTCTGCTTGATCTGCACAGTGGGGTCTAACCTCTAAAGTCTCGCTCAGGCAGACCGCTGAGCAGTCCTTTGGAGATCTGACACCGGCTTCAGTTTTGAACAACTCAGGCTGAGTGAACCAGATCGCCCTGCCTGATGTAAATATCTGGATTTTGTAAACCACAGACTCTT